AATACAAAATAAAAATGTCTTACAAAATATTCAAACGTACAAGCTACATTTTGCTTACAAGAATCATATAATTGTCTGCATAAAGATTGAAACACATTTTAAAATCATTCCATGGAATACAACTCTTTTTTAATAAATTGCACACAATTTTTATTGGGATATTAAAGAGGTTTAGGTACATGAGGGAAGGAAATTCCCCAAAGTAAATGGAATGGCAAACCTTTTCTTTAGTGTGTGAAGATCTCATTTTGTTGCTGTTTCCAGTACTGTACCTGGGCTATTATTATTATCATTATCATCATTATTATTTTGCAAGATTAGCAAATTGCCATTCAGTCCCAATCTAATGACCCTGATTTATTTAGCAGTAGGAATTAACAAAGGAAATCTTGAGTGGCTATCCATATTTTTTAAGCATATGTGCTATATTCGCATCAGGGAGCTACAATTAAATCACAACTTCCCACAGTAGGTTAAAATGCAATCTTCCCAACTTAATATTTTCCTGATGGGAAGGTTGAAATCCCCCCCCCCAAAAAAACCTGGAGCCTGCCAACTTAAGAAAAGTCCTAATGAACAAAATGTGATTAATTATAACATTTACATCTGATAATTGCCAGTAAACACCTGGTAATTCTCAAGAAATATGATGTTTTCCCAAACACTCTGTGCTGTACCTGTAATAATATAGAAATGGCTATTATATCAACAAAGAATGGCATTTCAGATTCTATTCTTTAACCATATATTGGGTGCTTTAACCATATACAGCAGTGGTTCTCAACCTTTTTAATGCCGCGACCCCCAACCGGTCGTAAGTCGAGGACTACCCAACCGGTCGTAAGTTGAGGACTACCCAACCGGTCGTAAGTCGAGGACTACCCAACCGGTCGTAAGTCGAAGACTTTCTCTGCCCGGGAGTACCGCGCATGCATGGTGCCGCCCCCTGCGCCAGCCGAGGCGTAGCTGGCAAGCAGCAGAGACAGCGCAGGCCGACCACCGGTTGGGCCACCAGCTGGGCCAGCCCAAGGGAGATAAGGCACCCGCCGAACCCCACGCGTGCCAGCAACCCTCCCTGCGCCCGCCAGCCTCCCACCTCCCACCCCTGGCGCTCTTTTACTTACATTTTTAGTAGTTGCTCAGCAGGGAGGGGTGGAAACTTCCAGACAGCTTGCCTTTGCTGCAGAGAACTTGTAGCACTGTTTGCAGAATGGGACTTTTGGTGGGCTCAGCAGGGCAGAGACACTCTGGACAATTCCTATTGGCTTTTGAAAGCCAATAGAATTAGACTCTATTCAAGAGAGTCTATTCTATTGGCTTTGAAAAGCCAATAGAATAAAAGGGAGTAGCACAGCTAAGGAAAAGGGGAAAAATTGGCGGACTGCGTTGTTTGGCGACCCCTGTGAAATGGTCCTTCGACCCCAAATGGGATCACGGCCCACAGGTTGAGAACCGCTGATATACAGTATTGGGTGACTGCTCTCTCTCTCTCTCTCTCTCTCTCTCTCTCTCTCTCTCTCCCTTCCCCCCTCCTCTCTCTCTGTGTATTTTAGACTCCTTCCATTCTCCATAAGATGAACCAAACACGATGGCAGAAACATCCATTAAGCTTACTGTTCTTCACTAGCAATGTTCTAATTCTGAAGCTGCTACCAATAAGTACTTCTAAATCTCCCTGTCTTCTAACATAGAGGTCCCCAACCTTTTGGGCACCAGGGACCGGTTCCATGGAGAAAGGTTTTTCCACGGACAGGAGAGTGTGTGGATTTGTGTGCTGCCTGTATCCCACGGATGGGGTTTTCTTTGTTTGTGCAGACCTGTTGCTGGCATGCCACGGCCCGGTACTGGTCCATGGACCAGGGGTTGGGGACCCCTATTCTAACAAGTCTGCTATTGTCCATCCTACTTAGTTTAATTTGTTCTAAATGACAATACAGTATTTCTGCAGGGTCCCAAACAGTGAGCTTGATCATAGCAATTTGGTTTGACAAAACACATTCTTGGCCTATAGTGTTAGGGATGCCTAGCATAAACGTACACCACAATATGTTGAGAAAATAAGTTTAGCAAAATGTCAGGAATTGTTATTGCAAACTACACCACTGGGAGTGTCTCCTGTTTAAGATTCCATTAAAATTGTATTTTGGGGAAGAGCTAAAAATTCACATCGCTCTATAGCACTTTCCTCAAATTAAATTCTTACCATTTATTTTCTGGGTTCTGTAAAAAAAAATACGGTATGAATGTAAAGCTAACTTTGCATGATTGATTCAAACCACTAACATATTAGCCATCTGCTATTTTACTGCATAAAGGGTGGGAAGTGGAGATACCTCTTTTTCTCTCTTACTATTTTCTTCCACCATTAATTATGGGGTGGAACAGCCAGGAGTACACAGGAGAAATTAGAGAAAATTCTAATTCTAAAAATTAGAAATTAAAATTCTAAAAGATTGTTTTCCCCAATGATCACCCAGCTCCACCATACTGCAGCCAAATGAGATGTCACTGTGGTTTCTTGACATACCAAGAGTACATCACTGATAGAACATCTACATTAGCAGAACTTTCTCTTCATGAACCCAAGCATCTGCTAATAGCACAAGAAATTCTTCTATTCCTCTCTGTTCCATTTTATAGGAAGGTTAGAGTGGCACAATAAATATACATGAGATTGTACTGCAAAAGTGCTAATTCAATTATTTGTAGGAAAAATAAGCATTTGTGCCCAGAATAGTAATAATACATACTTCGTGCTCTTTGACTGCATGTGTCGGGCAACACAACTTAAAGGTTTGGCACAATGTGTCTAATATGACATATTATTTTTCTTTTAAAGAGGCACTCATATGGGCATTCAATAATAGTTTTTAAAGAAAGAAATACCACTTGTAGAACTGCTGACTTGCACAACCTCCCGGTAAACAACACTATTCCCACCCACCATTCTCCACTAAAGCTACTATAGATGTGTATAGCAGCAATGGTTAATGATCCATCCTACAAATATCACAAATGCACCTATAAAGCATGCATATTTAACAGGAACATCACTGGATTACACAATGCATAGAATTGTTTTGTTAATATTTTCTTTTTTGGCAAGAAATAATTTTTTAATAAACGAAATAATTCCCCTCTCAAAATGTCACTGGTTTTTTTTAAAAAAATGTTGAAGATATCTTTAGAGCAGGGAATGGCTAGGAAGAACATTACTACTAACCCCCGTGTTCTTAATGCTCACATGTTTTCTAGTGATCCATAGGGTTAAAAATGCCCTTACATTCTCTCCATAATAAATTGCTTTGAAATAATTTATTTAGGCAGAGCTGGGATGTTTAAATTACCCAAAGTAAATTAATATCCGTGCAGAATACTTTTTTATAATCAGACATTTTTCTCTTATCATCAACAGAAATACAAAAAAAAAAAAAATCTAATACCCTTGATTGAATTTTGGTATGGTCACAAATAGATAAATGGCTTTGGAATGTAGATTTGTTCCCTAACCAACTAGCTGTCTGTCTTTAGATAAGAAAATACAACAATGCAATATATTAACTCAGTTTTAGAACTGATCTATTAAAGGCAGCATTTATATTGTCTGGTGCAAAATTAATCTGTAATTAAAAACTATGGTTGTTTCCTAAAAGTTCTGCTGTACACAAAGCAGAAGGATCCAGCACACATAGATGAACATCTACAGAAGTTCCACAGATTTGTACAGAAGCCAATTTTAAAAAAATCTACATGATCACTAGATGACACTAAATATACTAAACTTTGAGTAACTTTTTCCTGCCATCTAGTGGTTTTCTGGACTTCTGCAGCCCATAAAAGATACTGTACCCTTTATGCTTGCCTTTCTTCCATTGCTAAATGTTTTCATCATCACAATTTACATAGGCTGCATCTAAATAATATTAGAGCACTTAGAAATTCCCACAAAAAATGTTAATAAGTTTGCAGACTTTTCAGCATCTCCTGAAAGCTGTGCCTCTTTCCTAGCAGTTGGATGTATAGATGTTACTAATAATTATCTTCACTTTTGCATTGTGCAATACCTCTTCTTCTGATTTCCTAAGGCCAGCAATTTAATACTTAAATGCATAAAAGCAGATCTAGATTTTTCATTTGTGAATTTCTAAGCTATTTCAGGTACTGACCACTTATGTTCATTTGTTTTTATCTACAAGGTTCAGTAGAAACACTGCCATTTGTCAATCTTGCCGACATCCTTCAATTAACCTCAGTGTTAAGTAATACATAAAGTGGTGTCACAAGCAAACAAGGCTAAGCAATTATGGTTGTCAGCAAGGCATATGGGGACAATTAAGGGAAAAAGAAAGAGGTTGCTCACCAGATCAGGAGTTGGTAATTGAGTAGCAAGTTTTAAACAAATGTTAAATTCTCACTGTCTGGGTCCCTCTTATAAGTCTGTGGTAGATTGCAAACAGTTTAGAATTCTTTTATTCTATCTCTGTGCCTCTTGATGTTTTCAAAAAAGGCCAGAAATGCTAAAATGGTGTGTTGAGAGAAAGGGTCCAGTCCAAGTCAGGAATAAACAAAATGGAGACTGCTTTAGAAAGAAGGTTGCAGTTTATTGAAGAAGAGAACCAGACAGAAAGATGGCTCTGGGAAAAACTGATCACATGTAGTAGGGAGTGGTGGGTTTTTATACCTTCTTGGGCTTTTGTTTGGAGATGTTCCTGTGACATGAACTTTGACCTGAGTCTGAGTGTGCCTTTCTGGTATTCTGATGGTGGTGGGTTAATCCTATTATGTCCCAAAGGTCATATCCTGCTTCTCTGGGGTTGTGGCTGATGAGTGTTGGGTTTTTGTTTGTTTTTTTTTTTTTGGTGTGAGGGATTGTTGATTCTAGGGATCTTTATCTTTCTAATCCCAGCTTCCTGGCTCCATTTTTTCTGACAAAATTATCACATCTGCATTTCTGCAGACCTGGTTTCTGTTTGGGGCAGAGAGACTTGGGGGGGGGGGTTTCTGCCTTTAACATCCTTTGGGGAAACACAACATTCTGCTTTTTAATATTCCCCAAAATATTTCTTTCTCAGGGGGGGCTGACTTCCTACAGATGATATACAACTATTCACAGACATTTTAACATACATTTTTAACTAGTATGGGTAGTCCTTAGTTCATAACTATTCATTCAGCAACCATTTGAACTTATGACAGTGCTTGAGGAAGAGACTTACAACTAGTCCTTGTAGTTGCATCCATCCACTATGTCCTTCTTCCAGACAAAAATTGGGACGCTTGGCAACCAGGTTGCAATTATGTTGGCCTGCAGTCACGTGATCATGATTCATTACCAGCTTCTGATAAGTAAAGTCAATGGGGAAGCCAGCAGGAAGTTACGAATGGCAATCATGGGGCATTATACTTAATGACTGCACAGGATTTGCCCGGTGACAGCAACTAGAAGTGCCAGAACTGTGTCATTGGTCAGTGCACCCATGCAATACCACACTTTACAATTGCATTGCTTAGTGATGGAGTTCCCTGGTTCAATCACTATTGTTAACTGAGAACTACCTGTATTCATAAGCTTCCCTCTTGTTTTTTGTGAAACTGCTACGTAAGGCAGGGTTCCTCAACCTGTGGGCTGCGGCAGACTACTGGGCTGCAGCCTCTTGGCCAGAGGGCTGTGGAAATGGTTGGCTGGTGCGCGCACGCGTGCACTCCCTCCCATTCATGCTACCACTCGCAGCCCCATTTGCGCATGTGCAAACGGGGCCGCTACTGCCGGGTGGGTTGTGTGGCCCATTTGTGCATGCACAAACAGGACTAGTACTGCACTGGTATTCACAGTCCCGTTTGTGTGCATGTGCACACATCAATTTGGAAGTTGCTCTCCTTCCCTCCAGGCCATGAGCCCAGAAAGCTTGGCAAATTCTGACTTAAAGGATAGAGGGCCATTAAGAAATATGGGGCTCACATTTTAAACGACAGCTGTCATAGCCCCCTCAGAGGCCGGTTTGGAAGAGGAGGAAGACTTGGAGCTGGAACCATCCAACAGGGAAGGCACACCAGGGGCTGAGAACGATGCTACCAGGCCCCTCAGGCATTGGGAGAGGTGGTTGACCAGATAGAAAGCTGCCTAACTGCAGACACAGGGGAGGATCAGCTGCTGACAGGCAGTGGTCCTGATAGGTAGCAGATCTCTGATGAGGAACAGCTGCCTGCTCCACTGATCCAAGGGCAAGGAGATTGGAGTGTAGGCAAGCCCAGAGAAGGGCTGCAAAGCTACTTGGGAGGAGGTTGACCCATCCCTCCTCACCGGTGTTTCTCATTGGGAAGGGCAAGGCTGCTTTCTTGCAAGTAGCTTTGCCAACCTCCGCTGTGCCTTGTGGCGCTCTGCTCTCCTTGTTCGTGGATCAGGCAGGGGTGGCATCCCGTTGCTCATCCAAATCCACCCCCTGCTGCTGTGCATCCCTGGCCTCTCCCACTTCTGCCAGCTCAGGCAGATGCTTCTCCAGACGATCACATACCCCACCACCCAATGTTCCCAGGACTGCATCCCTTTCACACATGAAGGTCTCCGCAGATTCTGGATGCCCCGTTGTCTCTTTCTGAGGCCCTGGCTCCAGCTTGTCCTCCTTGTCAGAGGCAGCCTCCGGTGGACAGCTGAACAAACATGTACAATCACAGGTTCTTTCTCTACTGCTCAGTTGAAGTACTATCCAGCCATCTTGTAAAAAAAAAAAAAAACTATACTGACATGAAACTTGCAAGTCCAGTTGCATCTTTTTTCCAGTTATAGTCACCTGACTTCCTTCCAAAGTAAACAACCGCAACCCAGCCTAGTTTATACAGCTAAGTTCTCTTTGGACCTTGTTGGAACAAGAGGGGAAGATTAACTGCAATGTAGCAAAAGATGGTTTAAACCTGCCTCACTCAGGGGCCATTTCCAACATACTGAGTTTTTTTTATTCTTCATCCATTCTCTTGTAGACTTGCTTATATGTTTAGGATTATTACCTTACTGGAAGATGTTGATGTGCTTCAGATGATGAAGAGATAGACTTATATTCTTCAATGACAGAAAGCAGAATTCATGCTTCCTTCAATAATGGCAAGTCATCCGGGTATTGAGGCAGAAGAGCATCTTCAAACCATGACACTACCAACCTCATGAAGTCGTTATTCTGGCATTTAGCGATTGGTTCCTAAATTATTTAAAGAGCCATTCTTTCAGCACTATTCCCAGTCAACTCCATCAGCTTCCTCTTCCTTCCATGTACTTTTCATCCCAACTATTATTCAATCACCAGCAAGCATGACCATTAAACTACAATGGTCAACAGGAATGAAAACAATTCAGGGAGAAGAAAAACCTAATGGAATCAGACTTGTGGCACGGCTGCTGAAATGGCCCCATCTTCTGCAGCTAGCTTCAAGAGATACTTAGCTAAGTTAGCTTCTTTTATTCCAATCACATTTGTCTGATGTATGTAATTTAATGGGGATGGTGCCTTTTAAAAATTAATAATATGTAAGTCACTTTAGATGCCTTTCTGGCTGAAGACAAGTATAAATTGCTGTGAATAAGTAATTACTTTACAGGAGAGGAAAGGGAAGGTTAGTGTGAAAGGAAGGAGCTGCTACAGGAAGATTCATTTCTTGTCAGATAAATGCTAGCAGAAATTAGGAATGCATAATTTTAAATAAGATTTGTTTATCACAAATCTATGAAAGAGGAATCCTAGACAGAACAAAATACATCCTCCCAGTTTGTATAACTGAAAATAACACTTTGAATTTAACTACATTATTCTCTTATGAAAGGGGGAGAGATGACATTCACTTGTCCTCAGGACCTGTTTAACATATTTTATTGCATAAAATGGTCAGCAAATGCCAGTTCCCAACACCCCACTGATCAAGTATTTAATACCCACAACTCTTCTTCTATTTTAATGCCTAAAATGGATGGATGGGGGGGGGGAAATCTACAAGAGCTTCACCTGCTCTCTGGATTTAAAGTATTGCCCCAATTCTCTGTGATACTATTATATTACAAATCCATATTCTTATAATCAGTATTTTTCTCTTGCCTCTATCAAGAAATATTTTACTGCAATCCACTGTGGAACCATGAAAATGTGGGAATATTTCTATAGCCCTCTTTTTGAAAAAAAGGCAAAGACTAGGAAAGCTGTTTCACCGATTCTAATATTTTGTTGTTGTTGTTGCCATCTAGTAATCATCTGGATTTTTGCAGTCCAGGTCCATTAGTGCTACTATTGATCTTCAAGATTTTTCCTTCTTTTGAGCTGGAGAGTGTTGAGCGTGTTGTTTAAACCAGCAGCTGCAGCTAATCTGCAATTTCTTACCTATTCTCCTGCACAGCTATCTGGTCCACAATTATACAATGTACACATGAAGTATGGAAGTTGCAGTTATTGCTAACTAATTGTGGAGCTATCACAATTGTGGAGCTCCACCATTGTGGAATGGTCACAATCCAGTAGAGTAAAACAATCTTAAATCAGCCAGACTATTTTGAATTGTAGTTATTCAATTCAGCAAATTAAAATGTAGTCCAACGTTCAAAAACATTTTTAAAATCCACAGAAATGAAGCGGCTAGACAGAAAGTGCTAAAGGATAAGTGATCAGCTCGATAAGCTGAAAAGGCTTCCAAAATTAACAGTCTTCCTATTTGCCATGATATTTCTTTTGCATATTAATTAATAGTACTTTTATTTTTAAACAACTATTTTGTTAGCATTTCTTTTTTTCTTAGCTAGCATAATTGACATTAGAGACCTAAACTGTAAACAGAAAACACTGCAATAAATAGCAACCCTTTTTTTATTCTTTTCCTTCTCCATAGCCTTATCAAGACACACAAAAAGAAAAAAATCTAACTGAACTACAAAAAGAACTAAACAAAGTAGAAAAATATTCTTGCCTTCATTCTCTCATATACCAAATTCATGCCACACTTTTAAAAGGCTTGAGAATTTGAGGATGATTCTTTTAAACATGGTACACTTTTCAAAAGCAATGAAAGCTGAATGGTATAAAGCAATTCCAAAACTTTGCCCAATGATAGGAATAATAAGAATTTGCCCATTCTTATTAATGATGCCTTCAAAGAACTTTGCAGAACATATGAACATCATAACTTTAAATCGTCTCCATATCTATTTGGTCACATGGAGTGACTATTGGGGCTCCTAATAAACACTTGTCAATGTTGTCTTACATTATAATTTGCATTTTGCTTGGGAAAGAAGTGACAGTTAATCAAATTTCACACTGACTTAAGTTTAAAAGTGGGTAATGCTAAAATTAGGGATGGCCTGAAAATTATTTTCCAGTTTTATAATCAGCCATTAAATTAGCACCCCATAAATATGCTTCTTTTTTCACCATCAGCATTAGAAATACTATATAAATTAGGCTAAGCTATTTCTATTTACATATTCATACAAAGAAAAAAATATATTTATATATGTATATATATATATATTTGTTTTGATAATGGGATTTGACACTGGAGAAAGGTGAGTCCGAAGGGAACTGTAGAATCACAGACAATGCATGTTACCAGACACCAAAGCTTCAAACACCACATGGTCACGCTAAGCAGACTTTCAAGCTGTATCTGAAGAAGAGTCATAAGATGCAGACACTATGAAGTTGCCAGTGCTAGAATGACTTGCTACAGACTGAGCAGCCTGTTGGCTTAAATTGTTGCAGATTAGCACCAGCTGGTTACTCTGGGCCTCAGAAAGGGTGCTGCAGCTCTGGTACACACTGAAATTAGTCTTCCTCCCAGGAATATTCCCTTTCTCACACATAGTCTTAACCATCTTGGCTAGTTTGTTCTTACCAAGGGCCTGACAATTGTACCAGTGTAACGCAGCTAGATTAACAACAGGCTTAATGGATAAGTAGAAAGGGGCATCCTCGTACCGCATCGCAGGGGGACGCCTTTGCGCGTATTCCTTGTAATCTTGCACGGGGCAAGTCTGTGGAGCGTGCTGAGTTGCATACACTCTGGAATCTGTGCCTGTCCTCTTAATCTTGGCGTTCCCGTCACTGCCATCTTGGCCCATCCATTCCAAGTATTCTAAGCCAGTTTCTGTCACTCGAAGTCTAATGTCTCCCCATTTGAGAGTCGACCCGTGGAAGCCCGTACAATGGCCAAAGGCTTTTGTGTTGTTGAGCCAGACAAGGTTCAACAACCCCTCCGGATTATATCGGCTTAGCAGGCCTCTTTTGCGGAGAATCAGCTCATCGGCAAAGGTAAGTTTCATTGATTTGTGTGGCTTGTTGCCTTTACCTTTGCACCTCAGTTCTATCTGCTTCTGTTTCAGTGCTTCTTGGGACCTCTTGAATTCCTTGTCTCGGGTAATGCTGTATCCATATCGGTGCTCTTTGAGATACCGCTCCAGCCCACATTGGTAGTTGGCCAAGCTGTTTGGCTCATACTCCGAACCATCCTTCTGTCGAGCATCGACAAAAAAGGATGCTAGATAAGCATCTAGTTCTTTGCAAGGAATAATGTAGATCTCCCTGGTTTCTGACGGGTATTTAGAGATGAGAAACTCTCTGAAGTTTCGGAGAGCTGTCTGGGTACTGCGAATAGTTTTCTCATTTTGCTCTCTAAGTTCTGCAGCTCTCTCATCTTGGTCTGGGAGAAGCAAAAGAAGTGATATGTGAGAACAAGGATGCACTTTTTTCTCAACTTATGTTTTTCCTTAAAACAAAATGAAAATCAATTACTGTTCACAAAGATCACAAAGGTATTATTCATTACATACCTGTCAAATACGGACAGCCAACGTCTGTTTCACAAATGATGTTACTAAGGATATGAAAAAAAGCTTAATATATATTCTTCAATTCACTGGCACACATTTAATTTACAGAGATTTGTAAGAAGAAAAATCTGAGATTTAGGCTGGTCTGTATTTTGGAAGAATCTAGAAAATAGAAAATATTTTACACCGATTCCACTGCTGGGTGGAAAGGTCCAATTAAGAAAACAATACTGAGCCATTTCATTTGTGAAATCAGAGGCTGTACTGGTTGCATGTATTAATTATATACTTTTAATCAAAGCACTTTATAACATGCTAAATAAGCTGATAGTTTGGGTATTAAAACATATTAATGTAATGTGTCAATTTACAAACAACTCATATTCTTTAAGCAAGTCTAGGACAATGCACAGTTTGCTACAAAGAACAAAACCATAGCAATTCCTCTCCGCAGAGACTGAGTTACCATGCTGGGTGCTCTTGACTAATTTCTAGTGAAAAAAGTTTTCTGTCTGTTTACAAACAATTTACACTTAACAATTTACAAGTAAGAAGTTACTTTGAAGACTGAAATTTGAAAGGATGTGATATCTTTCTCTTTAGAGTCCTAGAAAAACTGTCTAAAGGCTGCCCTCATAGATCTGGTTCATGCCCGTTTTCTAATAAAAGATCCCAGAGCATTTACTAGCTCAGAGTAATTTACCATATTCATCTCTGTGAGAAAAGATGTTTTCATCTATTGATTTCAGTATCTTTAAATGAAACATGGACTCTCCAAATACTAGTTAAGTACACTGTCACATATGGCTGCCATTAGCAAGTTAAGAAATCAATTTTCAGGGAAACTAGGGGCTTATCAGTTATTCATTCATATTCCACCCTGCATCTCATTGGTTTATGATAAAATAACAATCAATTAATGTCAATATCAAAACAAATAAGCAGACCAATTTCTCATAATTAAAAAAACCCGAACTCCTCAGTTTTCCTGTTTAGTTAAGCATGTCTTCAACAGTCAACAGATTCATAGATTTTCTGTGCCTATTGCAAGATACATTAATTATATGAATACAATTAAACAAAATTATATAGTTCCATGCGCTCGGATATGGACAGAGATCAAGATGTACCAAGAGAGGAGGAGGACTGAACAGCTTGCCTCTTGGAGTTGTGGGTGCTGATGGAATAAGGACCCAGCACTGGGCAGGGGTTGGACTAGAAGACCTCCAAGGTCCCTTCCAGCTCTGAGTCTATTCTTCTTCTTTCCATTTGTTTCCCAATGAAAAAAAATCCTCTTCCTGAAAGCTAGCATGTGAAAAAAAATGCATACCTAGTCTTGGGAAGGGGGAAGGGAGCAATGAATCATTAAGTGAGAAAAAAAAAAGATGATTCAGAAAGTGGAATGCACAAGAAACAAACTCAAAATAATCCCAACTTAATTTAGCTCACTATAAGATGGGATAGAGAGAAATTCTGACAGGCTTTCTAGATTCAGTTCTACTTTGCAACAAAAAAGGGCATTCTTGAAATCTCTGCTGCTTCAGGTTTTTTTACCTTGATTCTCTTGAAATACTGACAAGCCATTAGTTTATAGACAGAAATCTCAATGAATGTTATTGCTGATTTCAGAATGTAGGACTAAAGGCAGCTTCTTTCATCTGCCAGACAATTCAGTTCTTTTTAAAATTTAAAAGAGGAGCAGTCATAAAAGTGTCCTTTTTTCCTCTCTTCCATGTAATCAGATTATCCATGCTCTATTTTAACCAATATTTTATGGAGGGGAATTTCAGGCATTGTTAAAACAATTTATCTAAAGAATGCTAGGCCGGAGAAAGATAGTTTTGAGGTACTGTTGTGATGTCTTTGTATTCACATCTCACACAAACAAGTATATTTGAATCTAAACTGGATTAATAACCTTAGGACTGTACAGTAAGGGCTTTTGCTGGGACTCAGATTTATTGATTTTGTTTTATTGGGTACTAGATTTATTGTTCTTCATTTAATTTTCAAAAGGATGGTAATGTCAGATAACTGAACTTTCATAACAGCTTGGGGAATAAATTTCCCAAGATGGATAGGCCTGACTTTAAAAACCTGGAGTATTAATGTCTGTGGAGATTCTCAGTCATCCAGGTCACAGTTGTCCCAAAGGTGCTTTTTCCAACACGATTTTCTTTGTTTTTCCTTGAAGACATTTCTCTTCTTATCAAGAAGCTTCTTCAGTTCTGACTGAAGATATAAGGATTTATATTCCTTGCAGTCATCTTTCTGACAGTTGTTGAGGCCACTTGGAGGTTTATTTGTGTTTATCTGTTTATCTGCTGACAGGAACTGTTGTGTTTAGAACACAGACCTTTCAGCAGTTCCAAGAAGGTTCCACACCCATTTGCACTACTCTGGTGACCCTGAGGGCACAGATAAACCTTCAAGTGGTCAAAGACTCTGAAAAAGTTTGCTAATGACCAGATGACTGCAAAGAATACAAGTCCTTCCATTCACCACCATTCAGTCAGAACTGAAGAAGCTTCTTGGATGAGAAGCAAAACATCTTCAAGGAAAAACAAAATCCAGTTATCTTTTGGAAAAACATCCTTGGGACCCGGAGTATTAAATTTTTCCCTTTGGAAAAGAATAGACTTATGACTTATCCACTGTGGCATAAATCCCCAATGGTTGCCATTAAACAAATTATTCCAGTCTTAAAACAGCGTTTGATATAATAAACTGGATGAAGAAGAATAAAATTATACTCAATATAGTTTTTTATATTTTATTTTATTTTTGTTTATTTATTTGTATCCCACCTTTATTATTTTTACAAACAATTCAAAGCAGCGAACATATGCAACACATCTTACTCTTTCTATTTTCCGCACAACAATAACAACCTTTGGGCTGAGAAAGAGTGACTAGCCAAAGGTCACCCAGCTGGCTTTCATGTCTAAGCCAGGACTTGAACTCACGGTCTCCTGCTTTCTATAGCCTGATGCCTTAACCACTACTAGACCAAACTGGCTCTATTAACAATTAATTAACATTAATCAACAATTAATTAGTGAACAATTAATATATCAACAATTCATTCAATTGGCTCATTAAATAGTTTCAAAACCTGTTTTTAAGCTACTTATGAAAATATACAACCTACTTCTAGTTCTAAGTTTGTTTTTCTTAAACTAATTCCTTCTCCTTTTCCTTTTTTATTTCTTTTCTTAGAGCTGCCACATCTGGGCTGTGAAAATCCCGATGAGCCTTAGATAGGAGCAGACTCCTTGTTGCTGCCTAATGAAAAATGAATTAATTTTTCAATAATCAATCAATTTTTCCCCACTGAAAATCAATCGACATATATATTCTGACAATAACAACAGCACTAATAACCATGGAAGCTTTTTAAAGACATCTTTATTTATTTTAATTTTAGTCAGACTTGCTGGTTATCAAATTAGTTATGATTTTAATAATAATAATAATAATAATAATAATAATAATAATAATAATAATAAAGTTGGAAGGGACCTTGGAGGTCATCAAGTTCAACCCTCTGCTCAGGCAGGAAACCCTATACCATTTCGGACAAATGGTTGTCCAGTCTCTTCTTAAAAACCTCCAGTGTTGGAGCATTCACCGCCTCTGGAGGCAGGTTGTTTCATTTTTTTCTGACATTTTTTCTGGTTTGTTTTCACCAGTGCTTCTACCAGTATCAAGGCCAAGAGTGAGAACATTATGAGTTGCTTTGTACATCATGCCAAGTCATGGTTTTAATCTTGCCTTTTGGATAGCCTCAGTCATTAAGTTGGCATAATGCTAAATCTGATTTCTACATGGCAACAGTTTGCTTGTACATACTCTTAACCCAAAAACAAATACACCACATTATGACATAGCATATGAAAATCCAGATGATACCAAGCCAGGATTAAAAACAAGCCAGGATTCCTAAGCAAGTTTTACATTTTCACCTGTGATCTACAACCAAAACAGACATTGGTTTCTTTCTCGAGATGAGCCATACCCCAAACCACAATTAAACTAAACACATTAATGTTCCTGTATATGCAAATCCAGTTATTGAATTCTAAGCTAGGCAGAGCCTTTCCAAATGATTTCTTCTGGCAGTCTGATTTTCTCACTTCACTGACAGCAGGAAGATGAGGGACGCACATAAGTTGTGCAATGCAAGACAAGTAGGTCAAAAGCAAAAAAAAAATCCTCATTTTCCTTTCTTTGCTCCATTGCAGTTAACTTCCTGCTCTTTGTGAAATGTCGACAGGAGTGCAATTTACGCGTCAGCTATTTTGACTAGACATTAGATGTAACGTTGATCGCTATGACAAGGATTAAATCTTTTCTCAAATAAAGTCAGCCAGCGCAAATGCATTATTATCCGGGGGTATGACTAAAATAGCTTTAGGAGTTTGACCTATTTTCACTCTAAAACAAGTTCTTGGTATTGTTATGGGTTCCAGTAATAATAATAATAATAATAATAATAATAATAATAATAATAATAATAATAATAACAATAACAATAATAATGACATTGACAGACTTTATAGTGACATTTACATTTTACCAAGGCAAATAGGTGGGTGTGGAATGCTCCAAGTACATCAGATGGTTGAAGAAGAAAAAATGGCTTTGGAAGAATATCTGAAGAACAATATTGAAGATGCACTGAAATTAGTATATCAGGAAGGCTTACTGACTACTGGAGAGACCAAACTGGCCTACAAGAAAGACCAAATGAAGAACAGAATAGAGACATGGGAAGACAAAGCACTACATGGCTAATATATTAAAAAAAATAGCTGGGAAAGCAGATATTAACAAGACCTGGCAATGGCTAAGAGCAGGAAAATTGAAG